ACATGCATACTATTCATAATAACTAATAGAGGCTAGTATTGTGATACCTACAAGACGAAGGTTGGAGAAACAACCTACAGTGCAGCTGACCGACCAAAAAGTGAAATTAAAGCTGCTGAGAGAGATCCATCCCACCCCAAAATCCCTGTCGCCATGAACTCGCCACTCTCCAAAGAACGAGAAAGGGCGTGAAACAAAAACCCACACAAATGTGAGAACATAGAAAAACCAAAACCAAAATTTGACTCCTCCTGGGGAGCCTAACTTTCCCCCACAAGTTGGACCTGTGATCTTCGAGAGGCGTGTTCCTTCCCAGCGCGCTAACCCACATTATATCATACCATAGTAATGATCATAACAATTGTAAATGAGCTACACAGAGTGTACAAACATGCTGTAGGTTATAGGTGCATATTAGTACTAAATACAAATAGAACATGTCTGGTAAAATTTGTAATTTATAGTAGAGTTGGCAACATGCAACGACTATAACACCAACCTTTCTTTTTGAAAACAGACCTTGAGATCTCAAACAAAAATCAAACAGGAAACAATTAACAACAGCAACATAAGGCAGCTGGACTTATTCAAAGCATGGAGAGCTAAAGTCCAGTTAATTTGAGTATGTTTACAGTTGGAACATAGGCAATAACGGCTCGTTATAAAGCATGCAAAGCTGGCTTTTATCATTGGAAAGAGAGTAAAACGATTTAATAAAATAAAATAAATAACCAAAAATCACTCTGTAGAAAATCAGTGAGAATGTCATTGCAGGCTACGCCTGGAAGTCCACGTCAGACATCTGGTCGAATTTGCCTATTAGGTTAAAAAACATTTAACATTAAACTAGCCAGCTGGTTGGATTACCTCTGTAGTTGTAGACTATTCACTGAGAGAATTGATGAAATCCTTTCCCTCCCATGGTGTGTTGAAAAGATGGTTCACTCCTCCTTGCGTCGCCTTAAGTTTTGCAGGATAGAGGAGAAAGGTGCGAAAGTCCAGTTTCTGCAGAGCGTCCACTGCCTCGGAGAAGGCCATCCTGTGCTTGAAAGTGTGCGGGCTGTAGTCCGGGGTGAAGCGGGTGGTCCTTCCCTCCAACTCCACGGCCGCATAGCGCGCCACTTTCAGGATCTTATCTCTGTCTGTGAAGCGCAGCAGCTTGAAGATGATGGTGCGAGGCACAGGTCTGCCATTTGTGTCTTCTTTCGGGGCACCTACACGGTGTGCACGCATAATTTCAGCAGAGCCCAGGTTAGGAAACCACCGTGGTATGGCATCCGACAGGAAAGCAAGAACATGCAATGTCTCTGCGTTTTCAGGGACTCCGTGCACACGTAGGTTATCTCTGCGTGACCTGTCCTCCATGTCGGCAATGTTGTCCTCCAGCTGGACGTGCTTTGCTGCCAGTTTGCTCACCGACAAAGAGAGAAGGCTGTCCACCTCCACCATACGATTCTCGTCCTTCTCCATTTAGTCCATACACTTAGAAATATCAGCCTGCATGGCAACCATTTCGCCACAGAATACCGCGACCTGTACATCCACCAGAGCCTGTTTCTTGCTTGTCAGCTGAGACACCACGTCCTCCACGAGTGTTGGGATAGCCTCCTTGATAGCTTCTGCAACTGCTAGCTTAACTAGCTCGGCGAGCTCCATGTTGTCGGCTGAACGAGCTGTTTCCGGCTGTTTGTCGTTTTTTTCGAACTAGCTGCCATCTTGGTGTGCACAAATCTTCCACAGATCATAAAAATTAACGAGAGCTTAAAAAGTAGCGTTGGGTATGATAGGAATACTAAAATATTGGGGGTTTCTGCGGAGCGACGAAATCCCTCGCGATGGTCACATGACTCTGGGAGTGCAATACTTGATAGTATTTCTGTTCCTGAAAGAAGTTGAAGAGTGGGTTTCGTTGGGGGGGGGAATGGATATCTGATCCACTTTTGCTCACGAGACTCAACGAACTCTATCACTAGACCAATACAAAAATTGAATTTGTGGCTAACGCTTATTATTTTCTGACCTTTATTTAATGGGTTTACAGTCACTAAGTTTCTCCCAATAAAAGTCTTAATAGCATATCTGATTTTTACACACTGCAAATGGTCTTCAATATGTCTTCAGTTACTTTTTCTGTAACAGCTCTGTGTGCAGGTTGCTGAAAAAAATGTTGATCCACTGTCACTGTCAGTAATGTTTCAATGTATCCATGTATTTCAGAGGAACAGGCAGTAGCAGGGACAGAATCAACCATTGAAGAAAGTGAGTTAAATTTCTTTTGATTTTTACTAAAGAGTATTACATTGTCTACTTGTGTGACACGTGGATATCATCTACAGAAAGAGAGAAACCCTATTCATTTGTATAGATACAAAATAACTGGACAGCCAAAGTCAATAACTGCTACTGTTTGTTAAACTGTTCAACTCTTGCTGTGGGACAGATGCACCCACAAAAGGTTAGTAGATGTGTTTTTTTTTTTCTTCATTTGTTACATTCAAATTTCAAGTGAGACTCATTACCCTCGCTTATTTATTTGCCTTCAGGAGAACATGTTGTTGTCAAGAGAGGCACATATTTGTATTATTGTATTATTTTTGTGCAGAATGCTTCTTTCTGGGCTTCTTCTGCTTGCATGGACTCACATACTTGGCGCAAAACATTTGCATTGTCTCCTGACTTGGTGTTTTCATATTATTGAGCGGAAATTTTTGCTCTTGGCAACTCCTCTCTGTCTGTCTGTTTATTCCCACTGTAGAGATACTGTCATGCCTATCGTGCAAACCTAGCCTCTGTGCACAGCAGCTCTGAAATTTTTATTAGGAGACTGGCACAGTACAGACCAGCGTGGATCGAAGGCTCTGATGCACAACAAGTAAATTAGAGATGAGCTGTGAGGAATTTATTTAAGGCTGTTTTTTTATTATTTTGTCTACTAGGAGGGTATGTGGTATTGGATTGATGGTACTCGTCCCAATTACTCAGACTGGTGTAAAGGAGAGCCAAATAACTGGCGCAAGGAGCACTGTGTACTAATTCATTTTACAGGTAACTGACAATACAATGTTTACCTTAAAAGCATAATGTATGAGTGTTTAAATGATGTAAGACACATTTAAATAAGACTTCAATATGTATTAAATGATAAAATGGCAATGATTTAACAAGTAACAATGTATAATATTACTCATTTACCATACAGTGCAATTAAAGATTTTGAATTTATATGAGTTTTATTTGGTTTGTGTCATGCTGACTGACCTCTGTGTCTTTGGTTCTCACAGCGAGAAAGTGCTGGAATGACTTACTGTGCAACAGTAATCTGGGATTTGTCTGTGCCATGATACCCTGATGACTCCTGGACTCCTGGCACTCGTGGATTCCTGGCTCTCATCTGACTTTGTGCCATCGGCCTCATACATAACCTGAAGTCTTCATAGCTCAAATCAAATCTGAATTTATTTGCCATCGCTGTAATGCTGTTTAAGGAACTAAGAGACAAGCGACATGAATAGGAGCTGCTTCTTAGGCCTTGGGTTATGAAGAGAACAGCTTTTGCCACAATTCTTGGGAGAACGTTGTGGTAATTTTGACAGAATTTGAGTACAAGATTTGCAGTATGTTTTCAAACTCTGATTGTGATGTTAAAGTTTTTAGGTCAATATGTTAAGTATGACTAAAATGTGTTAACCACCATGTGGTGCTTTGCTTAAAAGTGCCAGGAAAATGGATTTAGGACAAATATGAGACTCTATTTCAGTTGTGATTGACGGTCTGTCAGATTTCATGCTGTTTGCTCTACTGTATGTGCAATTACATGCAAATATAGGGTTGGAAAATGACTATCATAAAACTTTCTGTGTTTCTCTTGTCACTTAAATGCAGAAGAGAGGCAATAATTCAAAAATTATGTTTTTAAGAAATTCAAAATCTATATTGTCTTCTAAAAAGAAATCATCTTGCAAAGCAAAGCTTTATAAAACATCAAGTTATTAACGTCAGATCAAAGCATTGTTACTAACACACATCAACGCACACAGGGATTCAGTGGATAAATCAATTTGTTTACTAAGTAAAGTTCAATGCATGGGTAATCCAAACAGGCAAAGGAGTCCAAGGAGCAAAGGCAAAAAAAGTCACATGGCGGGCAAAAATCCAACAACCAAAGCACAGAAAAGAGAATACTGGAACACTTGACTAAACAGACGAAGATGAACACAGAAAGGAGAAAACACAGAGACCATACACTATACAGGTTTAGGGGGTTATCGGGCACAGGTGAAAGTCATTAGGGCTTAGAAAACATTACAACTGGAGGGAAACACACATGGGCAGTAAGTGAAGGGATCTGAAATAAGAGGGGAGGTGAATACAAAATAAAACAGGAAACACACATGAACTTCAATAAAATAAGACAAACCATGACAGAAAACAAAATGCAGAATGTAAATCATAATTACTCACCCCTGAGAGCAAGAATGTTTGTTCTTAAAGGACCAGTGTGTAGTTAAAGTTGCAGATTGCCTAACCCTAACCCTAATACAATTAAATTTATTCAAACAAAATGAAGTAAAATTTAATTGATAAAAAATTGGGATTTGTTGTATTCAAGTCAGTGTTAATGCAAACTTCACATTTTCTTTTCTATTATGCATAGGTTACTATTATTTATTTCATGAATATTAACCCTAGTCTCACTTTTTACAGTATGCTATCCTGATATGTGTGACCTCATGAGAGAGTTGGTTGCCACGAGAGAAAAACATAAGAGAAACCAAACTGAAAGAAAGTAAAAAAACTGATTCTGGATGTGGGAACAAAAAATAAAGTGAAATTTGAAGACTTCATTGGAATTTTGTGATGGGATATGCATGATTAATTAATGAAACAGATCAGATACGATGCTGCTTTATTGATCCCAAAAAGAGATAATAAAGTCACGTACCAAATGGCATGTTAAAAATTAACTGGTCATCATCAAACAACATAAAAGCAGCCAGCAGGATCACAGCAGTCAGAGTTTAGGTGACTGTGTGATCTTGAATCAACCTGGAAGATGAATTTCACCATTTTATGGTTTGTTTTGCTTTTCTGTGGCTCGATTTCGGCCCAGGATGATGGCACTGCTACTGAAACACAGTTATGCCATCCTGATATGTGTGACCTCATTAAGGAGTTTGCTGCCATGAAAGAAAAACTTGGAGCTGTAGAAACCAGGCTGGAGGACAGTGAAACCAGGCTGAAGAACAGTGAAAACCAGATTCAGGAACTGAGGAACAATGGTAATTGTGATGGTATATGCATGATTAATTGAATTTAAACAAAACAAAACATCGTCCAAACTAAACAACAAAATATGTAAGTAGCATGATAGAGCATGTCTCCTGACTATATATATATATATATATATATATATATATATATATATACTATATACTAAATATTCACATGCTTGCTAGAGGATTTTTGTCAGTATTGCATAGAAACAACTTATTCTTCTTTTGTTTTTCATTAGAGGACTCTGAATATACTTTACAAAGTGATGTGATCAGAATTTCTTGTTTTCCACAGAAACAACCAAGGTGATATTCAGTGCAGCAACAGGAGGAGGAGAGAAACACATTGGACCCTTCAACACAGACATAACTTTAGTCTACAGAAAAGTGATTACAAACATTGGTAATGCCTACAACCAATTCACAGGTAAAACTCAGTCCACCTACATGTTTTACTCAGTATTCAATTATTAGGCAGGTGAGTGCGAGGCAACAGGCAATCCAGGCAGACAGAAACAGTTCAATGATATTTATTAAAAAGAGTTAGCTCACTGGGTACAAAATTCAAACAAGTGACTGGTGGGTAGGAGACAGACTGACAGGCAGGTACAGATTACCTGCCAGGTTAAGGTAGGTAAGTGAGTAAAGTTTATTTAACATAGCACATTTCACACAGCAAGGTCACAAAGTGCTTGACAAAAGTTTAGTTTCAGGGTTCTAGTTACAGGCCAGAAATCAAAGGCATACCTGGCACTCACAACAGGAAGGTATAAAGAAATAATCAAGTAAATATAGTGCAGGTCTGATAAGGGAAAGTGGAAACAGGTGACGTGAGAGTCAGGTGGCAGACTCTGAGGATTAATGGGCAAAACAGGGCTGCGGCAGCTGTCTTAACAACCATGATGGGGTACACTGTTGAGATAATTGCAGCAAATAAATATGTGTAAGTGGTGTCAATCACATCATTCACAGGGTCAAATGTATGGCAGAATTGATGTTGTGGCTTAATACTGAGCTGTTTTAGCACCTGAGGAAACCCATGAGACATAAATGTTCAACCCAGAAGAGTTAATATGATGTTAGGCAAGCTAAACGGTAAAAAAAAATAAAATAAATGTAATTGAAAAAATTAATATAAAAACACACTGTTGTTTCCACAGGTATCTTCGTTGCCCCTGTGGCAGGTGTTTACCAATTTTCTATCTTCTATCATACTGGAGCAGGACCTAAAGCAATGTTGAAACTCTTCAAGAACAATCAACTCATAGCCATGACCCATCATCTCCAGCCAGAGACAAGTGGTAATGGAGGAAACGCAGTGTTCCTGCAGCTGCAGCAAGGAGACCAGGTGTACGTGCAGTTGGCTGAAAATACACGTATTTGGGGAACTGACTACCATACAACTTTCAGTGGGCTTTTGGTCACTCAGATGTGAGAATTGATAGGCTGTATATCTACTCATTCCTGCTTGAAGATGATTGCAAAAATCCAAGATCACTGAAAACTACTGTCTGTATCTCATAATCTATTGGGCAGGTTTTCCTGAAATGTGCCACAGACAATTATGATTTTTATGACCATATGGCCTTTCTGTTGACATCAACCTGCAAATAAAATGTTTTCTTCGTTTTCATCTTCAGTGTGTTGTTGTAGTGTGAAATGTCCATGGGGGAAAAAGGTTATTGTGTTGCTTTATTTGAATTGTATGTTTTTATGTGGCTGTAAAAATGACTGAATTTGAATTTTCCTTGCCGCCTAGCCAAGTGCTTGCTCATGGTGGGTACTGTTGGGAGTAAGGAGTACAGTGTAGACCTGCTCTATTTGAAAAGTGTCCTGAGATGACTTCTGTTATGAATTGGCGCTATACAAATAAAACTGAATTGAATCTGGAATTGCTGTTTGAGCCAAGTTATAGACTAATGCATGTAAGAGATAATTTAAAGTTCCAGTGTGTAACATTAAGAAGGATCTATTGGCATATAATATTCATTGATATTATTGACATATTATAAAAAAAATTCTACAGACACAGTGGGCCGCTATCTGTGGAAGCATGAACTGCCATGTTTCTACAGTAGCCCAGAACGGAAAAAAACAAACTATAGATAGGACCGTTTTTGACTGACTTAGTAAACAAGGAACTTCAGAATCTAGTAGTAGTGGTGGTAGTAGTAGTAATAGTGATTTTAAAACAGGATGGATATACATGTGAGGAAGATTAGAAAAGTGAATTTTAGGACAACTATGAGACACTATTTCAGCTGTGATTAACAGTCTGTCAGATTACATGCTATTTGCTGTACTGTATGTGCAATAACATGCACATGTAGTGATCCCCTCAATAGTCATAAATAAGGGCAGGGCTTTTAGGTTCTTTCAACTTACTTAATTTCTGTATTTTAACCCTTATTAACTCAGTTTTAATAATTATCTTGGATCTCTTATTACATTAAACACATGCAGTTTTCTAAACCCACCTTTGATGAATTCACCTTTAAGAGTTTTAGTTTCAATAAATATTTTAACCCAAAAGTGTCTATATGCCTCTTAAAGTATGAAATTATTCCCCCTTATCACATAAATGCATTGAAATCACACCACTCTCCCCATGGATAAGTGGACATCTATTTCTCTGCTTAAGCTTTCGTTTGCAATGTGGTCCACCTGCTCATTCCCCCTAACCCCAGCGTGCCCTGGAACCCAGCAAAAAGTAATGCTGCAAGCAAACCCAATTCTAAAAACCACATTCAAAATGTCATTCACAATGTCAGGATGAGCTGTAGATTGTCCTGCTCTTAAAGTTTCCAGAGCAGCTGCAGAATCAGAGCAGATAGTGACTTCTTTAGGTCTGGCTTCTTCAATACACCATAAAGCCCATAGAATTGCCATTAACTCAGTAGTGAAAACAGAGCTTCCATTAGAAATACGTCGACCAATCTTCAACCCAATCTGCTCCACATATACCCCAAAACCAGCTCTCCCACTTACTGGATCTCTAGATCCATCTGTAAAAACAATTAAAGTACTCTCACTGATTGAATTAAGATGTTCCACTATTCTTGGAGAAAAACTTGGGAGCTGTAGAAACCAGGCTGAAGGACAGTGAAAACCAGATTCTGGAACTGAAGCCCAAAGGTCAAGCAAAATTTGATGACTTAATTAAGCATTTTGTGTATTGTGATGGAATGTGCATGATTAACAATGAGACAACAACCTCCTGCTGAATGTCAGCAAAACCAAGGAGATTGTTGTTGACTTCCGGAGAGGCCACACCGAACACCCACCACTGACCATCGATGGTGCTGATGTGGAGAGAGTGAGCAGCACCAAATTCCTAGGGGTGCACATCAGTGAGGACCTCTCCTGGACCGCCAACACTGCATCACTGTCGAAGAAAGCCGAGCAGGGCCTCTACTTCCTCCGCAAGCTCAAGTGAGCGAAAGCTCCCCCAGCCATCATGTGCACATTCTACTGGGGCACCATTGAAAGCATCCTATCCATCACTGTGTAGGGTGGGAACTGCACTGAATACAGCAGAAAAGCACTGCAACGCATAGTTAACACAGCTGGTAGGATCATTGTTGCACCACTCCCTTCCTTGCAAGACACTTACATCACCCGCCTCACCCGTAAAGCTATCTCGATTGTGAGCGACGTCAGTCACCCGGCACAGCCTCCTGCCTTCTGGAAGAAGGTATAGGAGCCTCCGTGCCCGCTCCACCAGACTCATAAAAAGCTTCATCCACCAAGCTGTCAGGAAGCTAAATTCTCTCCCCTCTCTCCCCCCAGCCACATCCTCCAGGCTGTCAGAAAGCTGATCTCTGGTTTTCTGTTCACTTAAATGTGAGAATCAACGCACTGTATTTCTGTTATCCAATGAATGTAAACATTTGAGATCGAAAACGTAAATTATATTTTACAATCTGATGAAACAGAATGCTGCTTCTCATTAAATAAATAATCTAAAAATTAGATCAGTCTTATCTATTGCTTCCTTTACTTTTTATCATTTATGATTTACTTCACAATTAATTAAAAGCAGAGATTGTCTTCACCATGTTGTTTGGTTGTAGGGTTTTAGAGAGGTATGACAGAAAGATTCAACAGGAGGTGCTTTCAATGATACAGTCAGTTGTCGCCCCTCTAAGAGCAGGACCTTAGATGGTCGTCCAACAAGTTATTTTACTACATCAGATTTGGTTTAGGTTTTCATTCTGACCAAAGGCTGATTTTAGTAACACGCACAACACCCCCCATCTCAAAAACTAATGGGCAAGGTTTTCAGTCAAGATTGCTGTATAGATTTTCATCCCCAGATTAAGAAATCTATAGTTTCCCTGTCACATGTGCCCTAGTGAAGCCATCAAGCCTGAATTTCAACTTTAAATAAAAAGAATAATAATAATAATATTTTTTACATCAGTTTTTGTTACGGCCCTGGCTGTATTATTAGTATTATGTCATGGTATTGGGTTCGTCTGTGGTGTGTGTTGGTGTTTTTGTCCCTGTTCCTCTGCAGGAGTGTGCAGCCTGTCGATTGTAAGATCTTTGACGGCAACCCGTAGGTCAGCGCTGACTGGTCCATGCCGTGGGCTCGGCTGGTGGAGTGTCGCCTGCTGGTTGGTTCTCCCAGGGAGCCGCAACATCCGCCGGGATTCAAAACGCCGCACCACACCGAAGCTCTTCGGCAGAACCTTCAGCAGCAGCATCCTTCTGTCCTCGGTTGTAGAGTGTGTGTTTCTGCGATAGCGTGAATTGTTACGATCTTAGTAGATAGTGTTTTTGTATGATTGTGTTCAGTGAGTATCGTAAGGGTGAGCTGCCATTTTCTTTGTACTAATTTTCTCCTGTTTTTCATTAGGATAGGGAGTTAGGTTTAGTAACTGTATTTTATTTATATTGCATAGGGATTAGTAAGGATTTTTGTTTAAGGAAGTTAGTCCTGTTTTGTTTGTTGTTTTGGCCTTGGTTCACCCTGAAGTTTGTTGTTTAGTCTTTGTTGCACTTTGTTCCACCTGTTTGTAAATAAATCACATCACTTGATTGTTAACACTGTGTTAGTTGTTCGTTTGGGAATCGGGGTAGGATTATTGGTTCATTGTCTTCACACATTTATGTGGCGCTCCTTCCCCCTAGACAGGGGCGTAACATAAATTGGGGGCTCGTCCGTCCTTCATTAATTATTTTGTTGTCTTGTGCTTGTTGGTGAGAGAAAAAAAAAAATATATATATATATTTTTTTTTTTTTTTCTATCTGATGTTTGCTTGGTGATTCTTCTTGTGTGTGGAGGGAAAATGGATTTTCAAATAGATGACTTTGCACAAAATCCCACTTTAGAAAAAATTAGATCGATGCACAAAAGCACAATTAGGATTAATTGCTAAATTTTTTGGCATCTCTGTTCCTTTGAATGCACGCAAGGCAGAGATTAAACACAGGTTATCAGAACAGCTGGTGGAAGGTGGCATAGTTACGCAGACAAAGCCAGAGGGGGTTCATGCACCGGAGGTTTTAGAGGAGGAAGTGGGAGCGGAGGCTGCCACAGCCACACAAACCTTCGGCGGCCAGGTGAGTGCGGGGCGGAGGCTCCGGTTGTCACCCAGGCATATAGCATGGATCTGGTAGCTCTACTACAGGCTGGAGTAGATACGGAGGATCTGAAGTTGGCCCTCCGCATGAAAGAGGTGGAACTCGAAACCAAGTCCAAAGAGGTAGAGATTATGCACCTCCGCATAAGGGCTCTGGAGCTGGATCGTCAGTCTCCGACTACGTCCACTCCTGTAAGTATGCGTCTTCCCACCGCTGCCTCTGAGCAATTTGATGTAAGCAGGCATATTGCCTTAGTACCACAATTTAGGGAAAGTGAAGTAGATTCCTTTTTTAATGCTTTTGAGCGCATCGCTGCGACATTGAGATGGCCCAGAGATGTGTGGAGTTTGTTTTAACGCACCGTGTTGTTTTTCCCCGGCAGGGCGCCGCGAGCACACTGCGATCGCAAACCCTGGAAATAAAGATAAAATCTTACCAAAAGATCCACATAGACCTAATCCTACGTCTTCTGAACGTGAATGTTTTTACTGCCACGAGGCAGGACACCTGATAGCCAGCTGCCCTGCGCTCCAGCGTAAAGAAAATAATCAAAGTGAAACAAGACCAAAAAGTGTTGGACTTTTTCAGTCTGTTCCGACTCCGTCTCCTGTCAGTAATGAACCAGAGAAAGAGGAGGTAGATGAGCGTTACAGACCTTTCATTTTACAAGGTTCAGTCTCTCTGACAGGGAAGGAGGAAGATCAGGTACCGATCACAATTTTGCGTGATACGGGAGCTAATCAGTCTCTCATCTTGCAAAAAGTGCTGCCTTTTTCCTCTGCTTCATTCTGTGGTTCTGATGCACTTGTGTTGGGGGTGAAAATGAGTACTGTAAGAGCACCGTTGCACACAGTTTTCTTGCGTTCACCGCTCATCTCAGGCCCTATGAGTTTTGGACTGCGCACTCGTTTGCCAGTGCAGGGGGTTGCCATGATTCTCGGAAATGATCTGGCAGGGAAAAAAGTGTTTCCGACCCCGAAGTGATTGAAAATCCCGTTGCCGACTCGTGTGTTTCTGTTCCTGCTGCTGTCAACTCGTCCTCT